GGGAGGGAGGGAAAGAGAGGAAGAGATAGATTGAGAGAGAAACATCAATGTGAGAGAGAAACATCGATGGACTACCTCCCATATGCGCCCTGACCGGGGATCAAACTCTCAGCCTAGGTATGTGTCCTGACCGGGAATCAAACCTGCAACCTTCTTGGTGTATGGGACGATGCTCCAGCCAGCGGAGCCACCCAGCCAAAGCACTATAAAGCTGTTTTTTAAAAAGGAGAGGAAAAGAAGCACTATGGTCTTGAAATGGGTCATGGACTTGAACTGAGAAGAATTTTGTTCTTCTGACTCAGCCACTTTGATTGCCTTTTATTATTTTTTAAACTTTGTAAATTATTATATGTGAATTATAACACAAATATAGAAAAGAACACATAGAAAAACATGTAACTCACTGACTTATCCCAAGGGTAACAGTGTATCACCCCTACCTAGGTCAAGAAAGAGAACACTGCCAGCATCCTAGACACCCCTTGTACCTGTCCCAATCACTTCTCATTGCCTCATATCACACTAAGTAACTGGTATCCTAACTTTCATGAAAATCACTCCTTTGCCTTTTATTTTAATAGTTTTATAGCCTATATATGAATCCTCCCATACCAGTTTATTTTTGCATTTCTGAGATTTATATGAATGGGATATAAATGTGTGTGTGTAAACACGTGTATGTGTCTGGCTTCTTTTACTCAACATTACATTTGTAAGATTTGTTCATGCAGACACCTTTTGGGGAAATCACTTGTTACACACACACACACACACACACACACACACACACACACACACACACACTTTTTAAAGTTTATCTGAACCATTTTGAAAGTTAGTTGAAGACATTATTGAGTATACACCTCCCAAGAACCTCGTCTCCTATATAACTACAGTATCATTACATCTTGGAAAATTTAACATTGGTATAATACTGTAACACAAATTTTTTCAACTATCCACAAATATATCCATTTCAGCTGTTTGTTTTCATCCAGGACCCAATTAAGAATCATGCACTGCATTTAATTGTCCTGTCTCTCTTATCTCCTTTAATCTGGAACAGTTCCCTGCAGCATTTTTTTATGACAATTTTTTATAGACGCCAGGCCAGCTGTATCCTAGAATGTCCCACATTCTGGACTTGTCTAATTAGATGCAAGCCAATTTTTGGCTAGAATACAACACAGGTGATGTGTCCTTCTCAGTGCATCACAAGAGGAGATATGTGGTCTATGGCCGAAGAGCATTACTGCTAGACTGTTATTAATTCTCAATTTTTTCATCTGTACTTGGAGATAAAATCTGTGCTACTCAATTCAAATGGTGTACACACTGTGAGGATGACAGATGTGGCTGATAAAAGTACTTAGAAGTTTCTGGAAGGAAGACAAACTTTGATGGCAAGGTGGCATAGAAGTGGTTTGTATTCTGGCATGTGCTTAACTTTCATTATTCAAAATAAAAATTTTTGTTTAAAACGTACACAGTACAAAATTTAAATAGGGTCTCAAGTGAAAACCAAATCTCCCTTCCACTCAAGTCAGGCAAAATCAGCCAGTTACTTTTCACAGACTTACTAGGTAACTGCAAAGGGGGAAAACTCCCTAATGTGAATTAAATGTCGAATGTATCAGCTTGACTTTATGTGGAAATAGCAGATTCCTCAAGTAAATGGTCCCTTCCAAATCCTCTTTATTCTACTAACTGCTTAACCACCTTTAAAATTGCTGTTATCCCCTCCCACAAACAAAACCAAATAAAAAGCAGAAAAATCACACATAGTACATGAAGATTAAACTGAGACTGGTCCTTGTCTGTAATTCCAAACCAGAAGCATTTTATTTAATGCAGTTTAGTCTGTTCCTTCATTCCTTGAGCCTGTGAGTAACAACAGTGACTGATGAAGGGCCATGAATGAATAGGAACTGTTCCAGAGACAGAGAATGAGCTACTGCAGAGGTTATGATGGCCAAGGAGAGAAATCCATCCTAAGGGATCCACTCCCCACCATTTGCCAACCCCCTCCTAAACACACCCACCCAGCCTGGGATGATTTGTGGCTAATGCACTCAAGTGGAAAAAAATATTGGGCAAGAAAACCACCTCCTCTGTTTTAGTATGGTATAGGGCACTGGCCCCAAGTCCTAGCTGCAATTTCGAACCAAATGAGGAGCTTTATAAAACACTAGTGCCAGATTCCCACTCCAAACCCAATAAATCAGAATGCCTGGGGGTGGAGGCCCAGGTGTTGGTATTTGTTTTCAACTCCCAGCAGGAGTCTCCATGTACAGCTAGGATTGGGAACCAGGTATAGGGCAGTGGCTTGTAAATATGAGCCTGCAATGAATACCAGGAGGAATTGTGAAACCCTGTGACTGGGCCTCAATCCCAGAGTTTCTAACTCAGTTGGTTTGGGGTGGGGCTGAAAATTTGCATTCCTAAAAGTTCCCAGGTGATACTGATGCCGCTGGAATCACACTTTGAGAACCACTGATGTAGGGAAAAGGACATGGTTCTGGAGTTGGACAGATGAGTTCAAATCTCAGCTCTGTCATCATCTAGCGGGATGACCATCAGTAAATGACAACCTTTCTGAGCCTCGGTTTCCTTATTTGCAATGTTCCTGTGAGGGGTTTTTTAAAATTGAATTTATTGGGGTTACACTGGTTAATAAAATTATATAGGTTTAAGGTGTACAATTCTATAATACATCATCTGTATACTGTATAGTGTGTTCATCCTATGAGGATTAAGATAATGTATGCAAAGCAATAAGTGCAGTCTTGGGCACATGAGTACATGACAGAACCCTCCCCTTCCCCTGGGATCTACAGACCAGCAGAGTCTGGTACACATAACAGCAACCCTTTGCTAGTCAAAGGCCAGACCCCACAATGATGCCTGCCACCCCATGCTCACCTGCTGTGATGGAAAGACTTCAGCTTTGGCTGCAGCAGCACAAACAGCACCACAAGGAGGAGAATGAGTGCCACGGAGCTGGCAGTGGAAGCCACTATAGAAAGCGTGGGGACCCCGAGTGATGTCTTGGTGTCTTTCTCTACAAAAACAAGCCATCATCAGAAGAGGTTTGCATCCAGACACATACAACATGAGCCCCACAGCTGATCTTATCAAAGGCCCCCTACATGGTGCCATGCAGACACACACTTTTGCCAGGGCCATTTTAGGAGTAACAGTGCAAAGCAGTTTATACACACAAGAAAAGGGGGCCATTTCCCTATCCTGCTCCTGAATCTAATATCCCCTTCCCTGTGGGCCTTTGAGGACCATCTTATACCTACAATCACTCAGCTAGAGATCTTACCTTTATAAACCACTTCTGCTCCTGTCCTTCAGTAGACAGTTGGTAGACATCAACCATTTAAATAAACACATGCTTTTAAGTCCCACCTATCTTTTTCCTCACATGGCAGAAAAAATTTGTAAGAGCTAGGCTGTAATAACCCCCTGTTCTAAGATCCTGTCGCTCTGTAACTCTCAGGTCAGTCCCCACCCTTCTCTGGGTGTGATGGCCTCAAAGCCCAAGTATGAAGCACAAAGATGGCTGTATGACACATTCTTCCCTGCAGACAGCTGGATTTTCCTGTCATGCATGACAGGAGGAAGAGGAGGACTGGGAGAGGTCTTCTGTCCAGCTGGACTGTAGGTCCATAACAAAACAGTTCATTATCATTCAAGAAAAAATAAGATAGTCCGGCCAGCATGGTTCAGTGGTTGAGCAACGACCTATGATCAAGGAGATCAAGGTTCAATTCCCTGTCAGGGCACATGCCCGGGTTGCGGGCTCAATCCCTGGTGGGACCATGCAGAAGGCAAGCCGATCAATGACTCTCTTATCATTGATGTTTCTATCTCTCTCTCTCTCCCTTCCTCTCTCTGAAATCAATAAAGATATATTTTTAAAAAAAGAAAGAAAAAAAGACACTATAAAAGGTGTTAGCATCGTGCTCATGTGTTAGTAGAACATGGTCAAATGTCACCAGCACTTGGCTAGGCAAATGAGATCATGAGCATCAAAGGGATCTTACATAGCAGAACAGATGCCACAGCAAAGCCACTGAGGCCCTCAGTGGCTCAGCTGAACCACAGTGGGACATACACCAGCAATCTCAAATGTCTTTCACAAAGACACATGAAATCCCAAAGGAAGGGAGTCTGCAGGGCATCAAAGGGCCCATACTGCCCCACATCACAGGATGCTCAGGAGGAAGTGGGCACTACTTCCCTTGAGTTAAAAGAAAACAGACCCTTTCTCATCTGCCAAACTGACCTTCATTAAGATGGCAGCTAATCTCCATGGCTGGTTTCCATTCGCCATTCTTACACGTCAGGTATTTGTAATCACCCTTTAACATGTAGCCTTCAGCACACAAGTACTCGATGACACTGCCCGAGTTCAGGGAGTCTTTGCAGGGCCGGGGGTGGCAGACATAGCCACCATTCTCTGGTTCTGGGGGCAAGGAACACACTGCAAAGACAAAGAGAGAGTGAGTTACAGTGATGAGGTTTTCCAGTGGGAGTCCTCTCAGTGACTCAGAGGAGGGCAGTTCCAAAGATCTCAACAAGAAACACATGAGGAGCACATGGTCCGTTTCTTGGAAAGGCTGTTGGCCCAACTGTGGAAATGTAGGTTGCCACTGAGAGAGGGAAGAGCACTGGCAACGATGAAGTTTGGTTGTTTGCAACATGTCCCCTTCCTCTCCCCACTGTTCCTTAAGAAAAGTGCATCCACTATATCCTAAGAAACCCGAAACACCAATCAGAAAGAACTTATGCACCCCTATGTTCATAGCAGCGCAATTTACAATAGCTAAGATCTGGAAACAGCCCAAGTACCCATCAGTAGATGAGTGGATAAAAAAGCTGTGGGACATTTATACCATGGAATACTATGCAGCTGTAAAAAAGAAAGATCTCTTACCCTTTGGGACAGTATGGATGGAACTGGAGAGTATTACGCTAAGCAAAATAAGCCAGTCAGACAAACACAAGTATCACATGGTCTCACTCATATGTGGAATATAATGAACAAATAAACTGATGAACAAAATAGATCCAGAGACACAGAAGCATGGAACATACTGAGGAAACTCAGGGGGGAGGCAGGGGTCGGGGAGTGGGCGGGGAGAGAGTAATCAAAGAACCTATATGCATACATGCATAACCCACAGACAGATAATAACATGGGAAGGTCTGGGGGTGAGGCAGATGTAGGGTGGAGGGGATCAATGTGGGGGGAAGAGGACATCTGTAATATTTTCAACAATAAAGATAAAAGAAAAAGAAAACTGCATCCACAAGTGAATGGTAAACTCTGACCAAGTCCTGAACTTACAAAGATCTAGCACATAATATGGCTTTAATAACACCTACTGAAACAAACAATGAATCAATGAAAGATGGTAAAATACTTTTAACCTGCGTGGGGGAAATGTTAGCCTTGTTTCCAGGGTTGATACCAGAAAGGACTCCACCGTGTAATAAAAATGAGTTTCTCAGCAGCAGAGGGGATTTCTGATGGATTTTCTGGGAGCACTTCCCATTTCCTGACTGGAATAGTCACTGGCATCATTTGTCTCCGGCCCATAGTAAATCCCACATTTTTTGTTGGGTAGGGTAGGACTGTCTAGTTTTAAAAGCACCTTACCCAATACAATATATAAATGATGTATTATAGAATTGTACACTTGAAGCCTATATAATTTTATTAACCAATGCAAACCCAATAAATTCAATAAAAATATTTTTTAAAAAACAAAAGCACCTTCACCTCCTATCTTATTCATTCATTCTGACAACTCCATGAGGTAGTTATCCTGACTCCTCTTTGAAGACGAGGATACTGAGGCCCAATGAATTAAATGACTTTTAGCCAAGTGTAAGTAGACTAAATGGCAGACCTGGGAGCAGAGTCAAGTCAAATGGTTCCAAAACCTGTGCTCTTTTCACCAGCAGACACTGCTTCTACCCCATGAGCTGAGTGGGCCCTTATGAAGTGTATCAAGGAGATGGCAAGTGGTGCGTAAGTGTGGTAGGAACCTCAGTGTAGGGAAACTGAAGTAATGATAAGTCAGAGGAGCTGGAAGGTGGAAGGTCTGAGCAGTCCTGGAGAGGTGATTCCATGGCCTGCCCTTCCAACCCTGGACAGACAAAGCAGACCTGAAGTTCCAGGAAGTGGATTAAGCGGTGTACCTAGCCAAAACAGGAGGGACACAGTGTGGGCACTACGGGATCACTGTTTGGAAGACTAAGCTAGGGGAGAAGACCCACTGGCAGGATGGCCAGGCATCCACAAACTTCAACTTCCAAAGCCCTACAAATGCAAGAAAGATAAAAGTTTCCAAAGGACATTTGATTTTGCTGACAAATACCCTATTCTGAATACCACAAGGATATCAATATGAGAATAGGAACTGTGGGTTTCTTTTTTTTCATTTCCTCTAACAGACCTAGAGTGTCTGTCTGTCCCAGATAAGGTGCTCTCCCATTCAGAAGCTGACCCACCACTCTCTCTCAGATGTGCCCTTATAGCCTCTCACCAAATACCACTTCCCTTCAACCTACAAACTGCTCTTAAGCAAGCTGACAGTTGGTCCGGCTGGAGGGTGGATATCAAGTCTAAAAGGAGAGGACAGCTCCCTGTGCTGTCACTAAGATGGGGACAAACTCCATTTTTAAAGAGCTGTTAATAAAACAAAGCTGGGGTAGGTGCCACAGGGATCAGGAGGAGAAGTCTGAGCAGCTTCTCTGAAACTAGTAGATGAGTCCACAGGTCTCCTCGGTCCCCTCTAAGGACACACCTTCTCCAAACTGTTCCCATGCCACCCACCTCACCGAAAGTCTTGAACAGGACGAAGAGAGGCGCCAAACACTCCTTCTGGTGCCTCTTTAAACTTTGGTCAAATCGTTCAAAGAGCTGGTCAGCTAAATTTCCAAAGAAACCTCAGCAAACTGCTTCCCTCTTTACACTTTCTCTTTCGTTCAGGCAACAAGCATGCCACACAGATCCCTCCAGCTCTCCTCCAACTGTGTCTAATTGGCTCATTTCCTCAGCATAATTAATGCTGAGCATCCCAGGACAGCTCCTGAAAGTAGGCAGGACCCACACACAGGTCCGATGTGCTGGGAAGGATGGTCTCTGGGGAAGAGCTGCTGATTCTCAAGCCACTCCTGCTTTGCTGGGAATTTATGCTCTTAAAGCCTACATCTTCACAGAATTTTTGAGCGAGACGCTGAAGGTTACCTAGCATTCATTTTTATAAGTAAAAAAAAGGAAGTCTACAAAGAAGTGACTTGCATTTGAATTTCATTTCAATTCAACTAGTATTTATTGATTATTCTGTAGGAGTCATTTGTGCCACGCTCTGAAAAAGGATTCAAACATAAGCACTTCGCCTGTCCAGTGTGGCTCAGTTGGTTGAGTGTCATCCCATGTACCAAGAGGTCACCAGTTCGATTCCCAGTCAGGGTACATGCCTGGGTTGTGGGCTCAATTCCCAGTGGGAGGTTTGAAGGAGGCAGCTGATCAATGATTCTCTCATCACTGATGGTTCTATCTCTCTCCTTTCCTCTCTCTGAAATCAATAAAGACATTAAAAAATTTTTTTAAAAAAAAGGTACTTTAGGATGCCAAAAACACAAGAGGAAAAAAAAAATAGCCCTCTTGCCAATTCAAAGAGCATAGTGGGAGAGTGTTGGCAAAGGGCAGGTTTTGGAGAGGACCCTCTCAGTGATGCCTAGGGTTAGTAGGAAAGGGAAGATAAGAATAGCAAATAAATCACCTAGTGGCTTCCTGAAGCTACCGCTTGGGCAAGAGGCTGACTTAATCTGAGCATCAGGCTCACTCTCTGACAACCCCTGATCCGCAGAGGGAGTTTCAAGCTCTGTTCTCAACCCCAAGAAGACAATGAACTCATCTGATTTGGCAAAGCTGCATAATTTTAAAAAGAGAGGGAGAAAGCCAAAAGGTAGAAATTTTACAGGAAAAAAAAAATCAATTCTCCTTACTTAGCTTTTTTCTCTGCTGTCCATTATCTCTTACAACCACTTAGGCCTCCAGTGAACACACAGGAAGCAGTGAGATATGCTTGGGGGGGGGGAGGGGGGCCGGCCTCCCCCCTCCCCCCCCCAGCATGCCTGACACATAGTAGTCATTCAGTAACAGACTAGCCAAACAGCTGGTGAGGGTGCAGACAGAGGAGAAGCAAAATGATCTGGCCGATACTTCCACCTTAGACCACTGCAGCCTCAAAACCTCAGCAGAAATTAACAAGAACCCTCAATCTGGTCTTCAAACTTTTTTGCATTTGTTGTTTTGGGAATCAGCTTTTTAGGAGGCAGCGGCAACTTAAAACAAAACAAAACTTCATAAGATTCCATAAAAAGCAATTCAAAACAAGCTCCAGGAAAAACCAGGGGTCATGATGTTCAGTTTAACAAACTAAATAAATACTTAAGTTCCTTCAAAACAAAGTGTGGGGAGTAGGTCCTGTGAAGATCAGTTTGAGGTGGGGAAACAGATGTTTAAATACCTAGTGCATTTAAAAAAGATCTCAGTAAAAGAGGTTTCTGGCTGACGACAGGTATCAAGAAAACAACACTCCTGAACACAGTGACTGAGGGCTTAATAAACTGTCAGTGTTCACTCACAGATTTGAAATAATGTAGTTTAGACAAAATCAGTGTGGTAGAACTCAACTGGGCACAGAGAAACAGGGTGCTGAATAAAAGTTTGGCTGGAAAAAGATTTCCTGGGAATTTAGGGGAGAACAAAGAGATTCTCCAAACCCAGCTGCCAACATAGCAGTTGTAATCATGAGGGACACAGTTGAGGCAGTATCATAAATGTTCCTATTTGGTTGTAATTCCACCAAATGATTAAAACAGGCCTTTTCACACACGATGCCCTAGGAGGACCATAAAACTGAAGGTGACAGGACTGTGCTCTCAAAAAGCTTACAATCTAGGGAGGACACAGACATGCACACAGCCAAGTCCAACATAAATCAAAGAAGGAAATGTTCAAAGGTGTGCTTTTCTATTAGCCTGGGTATCCTTCTAAGCAGGTATCTCATTCATCTGAGAACTGCCCGAAACCAGAGGAAGCAGGTAAAATTTATTTATTTACTTACTTATTTCTTATTATTTTTAATCCTTTACCAGAGGACATGCGGGAGGGAGGGGGGAAGGGAGAGAGG